GAATTCACTTCGCTCTCTTATTCATTCACTCTCTTCGTAGTACTAATACCGCGGGCCCTTGTTCGTACACTCACTTCGTACGTTATTATGCCCGCGAGTGAATTATAATGGTGAAGAGAACTCAATTTAATAATAATTGCAAAGGAACGCAGTGTATGCGCGAATTATTGTACCCTAGACCTCCAAGTACCGGTCGATCCTCCGAGGCCAGAAGCGCTTGCACAGCAAAGTGGGCAGGCGTCATGGTCTCCTCAGGGTTGAGGGTTTGGGGTTTAGGGTTTAGGGTTTAGGGTTTGGGGTTTGGGGTTTGGGGTTTAGGGTTCCTAGGTTGGCCCCCTTGGAAGCCTCTGAAAACATATTCGTCACTAGGATCCGCTTAAACCCAGTAAGGGAAACCAAACAATTTCCTGAGGGGGGTTTAGGGTTTAGGGTTTAGGGTTTAGGCCTACCTGTAGGTTCTTTGGGGTTTCGATCAGCATGCACATCTGAGGCTTCGGGCCTGTGACTCTCTTGGCTTCTCCCAGACACACCCGCCCGCATGTGGTAACTTGCCTGACCATGATGGCTACTGGGTGCAGGGTTCAACCCCTAAACCCTAAAACCTAAACCTTAAACCCTAAACCCCAAGCCCTAAGCCCTAAGCCCTAAACCCTAAAACCCAAACCTTAAACCCTGAACCTTAAACCCGAAGCCCTCAACCCGAATCCCACAGCTGGCAACCTAGGAGCCGCGTTGCATTGGGTCAGGTTGGCGGCTGGTTGGTCCGGTTCCTGGGCTCACAGGGTTTAGGGCTTAGGGCTTAGGGTTTAGGGTTTAGGGCTTAAAGGTTAGGTTTAGGGTTTCGGGTTTTAGGGTTTAAGGTTTAGGGTTTAGGGTTTTAGGCATGCGAGAGCTGTTATGCTCGAACTCCCAAAGCTCCCGAAGCGATGATGGGTTTGGGGTTTAGGTTTTTTGTGCTTAAGGAACTCAGTGGGTTTAGGGTTTAGGGCTTAGGGCTCAGGGCCCCCCTTTTGACTTTTTTGCCTCCTTTTTGCCTCCACAGGCCATGAGACGCTAGGGTCTACTATGACTTTACAGCCATCCACTTTGTGGTCGGGTTCACCATGGAGGACTATCAGATACGACACGGCGAGTATTCTATACTGGAGGGTTGGGCCAGGGGGGGGTGAGAAATATGGGGGCCTTAATAATTAGAACATGCTTTTGGGTATTATAGTATACTTATAAAGGGACCCTAGGGGAAGACTAATAGCAATTATTCCGACCCCTAACCCTAAACCCTAGACCCTAAACCCTAATTATTCGAACCCTTACAGTATTGGGGTTCCAAATTTCGCCACATGGTCCCGCGCAACCTTGAGCCCGGCGTCACTCGTTGCAAGAGTCACGTCTGATGTTGCGGATGCCTCAGCTTAGGGTTTAGGGTTTAGGGTTTAGGGTTTAGGGTTTAGGGTTTAGGGTTTAGGGTTTAGGGTTTAGGGTTTAGGGTTTAGGGTTTAGGGTTTAGGGTTTAGGGCTGCTACGTGCGAAGAGCAGAGTTCAGGCTCTGTCTTGGGCATACGACTACAAATCTCGGGGAAGAACTTGAAGTACATTTCTTAAATGGCCCTCAGCTACAGCTGAAACCCTAAACCCTAAACCCCAAAGTTTGGGGGCTAAACCGTAAACCCTCAACCCTCAACCCTCAACCCTAAACCCTACACCCGAAACTCTCAAGATGAGAGTAACCAGAAATTGGATGTAGTTCACTTCGAACCTGCAGCCGCAACATTCTGCCCACACACAAACAGTTTTTGATGGTTTAGGGCTTCGGGTTGAGACGTTTTTGGACGCCTTGGAGGTTTTTAAGCAAGCTGACCCTAAACCCTAAACCCTAAACCCTAAACCCTAAACCTTAAACCCTAAACCCTAAACCCTAAACCTGAACATTTTTGTCAGCCTTCTGATGGCTTGACCCCCAGTCTGTCTGATTGTTTCAAGCCCCTAAGTGCGAAGCTCATCCCGGAGTTTTTTTTAAACGAGCCAAAGCCCCAAAAACCCGCAGCCCCTAAACCCTGAACCCTAAACCCCCCCCCCCCCCCATGTTCCTTAAGTAAAACCCTAAACCCTAAACCCTAAACCCTAAACCCTAAACCCTAAACCCTAAACCCCCTACCCCCTAAACCCCCCAGGGCTGTTGGGGCTCTTTGCTTGTGAGCCGAAGCGCCGGTCGGGATCGAGCCGGCGGAGGTTTGGAGCTGCCGGCCTTCATGATGAAGCGGATGGGGACAACCCTAAGCCCTAAACCCTCTCTACCATATTAAAAACATATGTATATATATATATATATTTATGTATTTAAACCTTATTTGAATTTCAGAATAAGGCCGCTTCATTTTCAGAATAAGGCCGCTTTACTTTCAGAATAAGGCCGCTTCATTTTCAGAATAAGGCCGTGTTTTGCATCTTCAATGTTGTGGGCTTCTCTGGGTGGGTGGGTGTTATATCTGAGCCGTAAATCAAGCTTTACCATAAAACTGCTCGACCCGGAGCGCTGAACCCTAAACCCAAAACCCAAAAACCCAAACCCTAAACCCTAAACCCTAAACCCTAACACAAAAGGGGCCCCAACGGCCTGCGCCATCTCGTCCAGGGTGTCCATCGGTTCGACGAACATCTCCTACCAGGGCATGTGTCGCAACTCGAGCTTGGTTGTCGGGTTAGGGTTTAGGGTTTAGGGTTTAGGGTTTAGGGTTTAGGGTTTAGGGCTTAGGGCTTAGGGTTTAGGGTTTAGGGTTTAGGGTTTAGGGTCTAGGGGTTAGGGGTTAGGGTTTAGGGTTCAGGGTTTCGGGTTTAGGGTTTCGGGGTGTTTGGTTTCTAGGGCTTAGGGTTGATTTGCGAACCCCCCCCCCCCCCTCCCCCGGCCCGAGGTTTAGGCCCATAGAGACGTTTAAGGCGACGGAGAAGTCTAGGGGAGAAAGGGTACCGAATTCCGACCAGCAAGACATTTAAAGCCCGCTTCAAAACCAGGCCCCCCTGTTGCTATCCCCCCCTCCTTCACTACGTTGTTGGAAGCTGAAGAACTGGTCCATAGGAAGCTAAGGCCACCCTCTAAACCCAAAACCCAAAACGGGGAATGGAGATAAGCTCGAGGGCTCACCCCACAGCCTAGGCCCTCTTGAGGGGTTCAGGGTTTAAGTAGGGTTTAGGGTTTTGGGGTTTAGGGTTTTGGGGTTTCGGGTTTAGGGTGAGCCAGTATCTGGGGTGCAGTACAGCTCCATGAGCTATCCTGCAAGGAATCCTGGCCGGCGGCATAAGTATCCGAAACAAGCTTCTCACTTCTACCCTACTTATCTACTATTTGCTTAAGCACCACCTTCCCCCCCCACCAAAAAAAGTAAACCCTTTATCGCTCTTATAAGGAAGAACTTCTTGCGCTCGTTTGTGCGTCTTCAGCAAACAGTAGTTATAGCCAAGTACCCACGAACCTCCGAGTACTTAGTGAAACACAGCGAAAAACATGCCGGGACGCCTCCGCCTGAAAGTGGGCACCTGCCAGGGTGCAGGATTTAGGGGTTTAGGGGTTCGGGGTTGAGGGTTTAGGGGTTTTGGGGTTGAGGGTTTAGGGGTTTAGGGGTTCAGGGGTTCAGGGGTTTTGGGAGGGGTTTGTGTTTTGGGGCTTGGCTCAACAGGAGTGCGAATGCCTCCCCATGGCTACCCCATGGGTGTCGGCCACCATGGGTTCATTCTTTGCGGGCTCCGGTACCCACAGCCTAGGAAACCTCAACCCTAAACAGCACGGCTGGGAGGACAAAAAGGATGGCAGCAACCGTCTTAAGCCAGCCATTGAGAAAAAAAAACCCAACAACCCCGCAACCGTCTCAAGCCAGCCATTGATTTAAAAAAAGCCCACAACCCAAGGTCCTACAGAGTAACCATTTTAAGCCAGCCATTCACTTCAAAAAAACACACACAACCCAAGGTCCTACCATGTCCTACCAGAGTAAGGACACGATGTGTCTGTTGAGCCTCCGCAGGCCTTGGGGTTCTCACTGGCTTGACATGACCTGGAAAACCTAAACCCTGAACCCTAAACCCTAAACCCGGACCCTTAACCCTGTGAGCATTGAAGCGCAGCCTCATGTGCTGGTTGAATGTTGGGAGTCCAGACCCCAAGAGTGATCCAGGAATAAAGAAAAAAAGGGCCCTTTTGACTTTTTGAGTTTCAAGGGGGCCCTATAAGGCAACCTGAGCCCCCAAAGAAAGGGAAGAAGGGCCTAACTCTTTGTCCTAGGGAGTTGAGGATGCAAAGCAGCATGCGTGTTGGGCTTGAAGACCAAAACCCAGAACCCTCTACCCTAAGTCTAAACCCCCTAAACCCTAAACCCTAAACCCTAAGCCCTAAACCCTAAACCTTGAACGAGTTCCCTCCTGTGAAAGAACGCCCATCCAACCCAAGACGACATAGGCTTCGAGCCGGATCCGTGGCCTCTTTTCGGCAGCTCGTCTGCGACTGCCCGCTGCGCGGCTGCCTGCACAGAGGGGAACGTTCGGAATGACTTTAGACGAGGTGGGCCCTTAAAAAGCCCTTCGAGCCTATTCATTCCACAAAAATGGACCCTCCAAACCCGGAAAAAAGGCAAAATGTGCATGATTCCAAGAGCCTACCAAGCAGAGTGAGAGTTGCGTGTGGAGACCAGGGTTTAGGGTAACCCTAAACCCTAAACCCTAAACCCTAAACCCTAAACCCTAAACCCTTTTCAGAAGCGGGGTACTGGGGCCGGAGTCACAGTGACTAGACTACGTAGCTTGCTTTTTCCGATTGAGCCCAAGGCGCCTGTCAAGCAGGAACTTGTCTCATGAATGCTATTTGACGCTTGCATGCTTGTTCATGCCTATACAAGTGTTCGTCTAACAGCTTCTGTACTATACGAAATCCAACTCGGCGCTTGTGTACAGGAAAATCTCACACCCGTCTTATCAACGAGTGGATGAGTGCGCCTCAAGAGTAGTGAAATTTGTCACTCAGCTGTAGCTTCTTCTTTCACAACGGCCTCGTTGCTCTCCAAGGCGTCGTTCAGAAGCTTGGGCTTCATGCTCTTGGTCAAGCAATCAGCCAACTGAAGGTGGGTTGGAATCCATCGCAGGATGTCACCGAATGGTGCGAAGGCTTCGCTCGTCGGTGTCTCGTCTACCCACAGTGCTTGGCGCAATGCTGTCATTTCGATAGCAAGACGCTTGTCTTCCACTGGTCTGGGTACCGACGACAGCAAATGATCTGTGAGCGATCTGCAGTCGGAGTACTGCAGGTGTAGCATCTTTCTCGGCGCTACTTCGCTCCAGTCATGCAGTGACGGCAGTTTGCCTTGCAACTCTAGGAGTGTCGCACGGATCCTGTCTCCGTGCTCGGTGGCATGCTGCAGGCTGTACGCTTCACACTGTAGTGTCGCGCGGCAGACTCGTTTCATCGTAGAGCTACCGAATGCAACCAGGTGAAGCTTGTGCTTGGGTGCGTTCACGTCGCGTGCTGTTTCCGCGTCAGTGAGGTAGTGCAACCTCCCCCTCTGGGACTTGTACCCAGCTTCAGCAGCAAAAGAGGCGTCACAAAACGTGACTACTGCGAGGGGGCCACTGCTCCACGGCAGTATCTTGGCGCGATACACGATGCTGCGCTCTGCGTCGCCCAGGGCGAGTGCGACCACACGGTTGGCCTCTCTCATCGTGTCGATGGTCGCGACGGTCACTCGCTGCTGCAACGCGTTGACGCGGTACGCGAGGTCGGGCCTTGTAGCCCGGGCCACCCACGCGAGTGAACCTATGACGGACCGAAGCGCCGTCCTCTGTCCTTGTGTGACAGGTGTCGTCAACTTTGCACCCTTGGGGATCTCGAGGGGAGCGATGGCACGCGTGTTGTCCCTTGAGTTGATCTCGATGGTGCCATCGGGGTGCTGAGCGTATTCTCTGCCACAGAACCTGAAGCTACCCTCTTCGATCCTCCCGATTTTGAAGTGGTCCAGCAACTGCTGGATCTTCAGCTCGCCCTCACCGAACGCTGCCCAGAAGAAGTCGTCCACGTGAGTGCACAGCATAGCGCACAGCCGGCCGCTTGTGTCGCGCGCGTAGTACAACGCGGACATGATCTGGGATGACTTCAGTCCGATGCACTTTGTCTCTTCGACTATGCGAAGGTAGAAGTTTCGGCCGGCGTCGGTCGTACCATACACTGGGACACGGGCAATCATGTAGCCGGATTCCTGGATCTCCTTGTCCGGAACGCCCTTGGGGTTGCTAGGAGCCTTGAGGATCAGCAATCTCTCGAGCGGCTTACCCTGAAAGTAGGCGTTCGTGATGTCGGCTGCCTTGATTCGCAAACCGAGTGAGGATGCCCAGGAACAAATGAAAGCCAGTGCTTCAGGCTCGGCTGTCGGGGAATCTGCACGAATGTCCTCCCCTGTGGAGATGTGCTCGAAATTCCCGCATGCGACTAGCCTAGCTTTGTATTTGGGACGATAGCCGGGGGTGCCTTTCAAATGTTCATGTTTGTCGGTGAGAACCCACTTGGTGGGCACGCAGATGTGTCCTTGGCTAAGCAACTCCTGCACTTGCTTCTTTGAGCAAGGTATCACAGCGTGAAATTCCTGATACTTGGCCCACTCCGCGAGCATGGCCTCGTCCAACCCCAACTGTACCTCGGCCGGGCTGTTGTGGTAGTCCAAAAGTGAGGCTAGGAAACCTGTTCCAACTTCCTCGTCGTCTGAGGAGCGCATGTCGTCTGCTCGCTCAGGCTCCTCCTGACGGGGCTGCTCTACCTGGGGTGATGGAATACGCGGTTGTGGGAATTCCAAGTCTTCCATCATCTGGTGTTCATCTGCGCGCAACTTTCCCAAGTGATTCATCGTGAACCCGATGATGCTGAATCTCTGCCCTTCATGGGGTTCCACCATATGGAGTTTCTTTGGGTCAAAACGAAGGACTTTGCCTCGAGTGGTATGTAGAGTCCCGGGAACAAGGTTGCCACAAACGTCAATCACTGTGTTCCCCTCAGGGTTTTCTATCCACAGGTGACCTCCTTTCGAATAATTTCCCAAACTCATGGTGAAATTGAGCGACCCCTTCAAATTGGAGTTGTCTTTGTGCAAACTTGCCCGCGATTCGCTTACTTGGATCCCATTCCAAGTGAACTCGGCGTAGCCTGCCTTCTCACAGTGGTGCCTCAGGAAGCGGTTCAAGTAGGTCACAAAACACGGGCGCTGCTTAGTAGGATTAGAAATCCCAACAAAACCACCGTGCCTATAAACACCGAAGCTAGCGGCAAGCTCATCATCTGTTGCGTCTTGGAACATCGCTCTTTTCGTCCTCTTCGGTTTGTGTTCCTTGCACAACCTGAGTAGTTCGAGACAGTGGCTCGTCCCGAAGGCCGTTGCTTCCAGGAGCTCGCTTGCCTTTGCTTCTACAGGATCGGTGTCCTGTGCCTCAGCCATCAGCGCGCTGGAGCTTTGTCTGGGCGGGGAACGAGTTCTTTCCCTGCCCGTCTTATCACTGGGCGAAATCTCCTTGCTTGTGATGGCGGGACTCTCGGCCGCTGCGACTCTCATGGGAGTAGAGGGAGCCGACGCTAAGCCAGTGTTCGGTCTGGGGGTAGAAGGCGCTGTTACCGGATCCTTATCTCTTTCGTCGAGATAACGTTGCTCTGGACCGTGGACAATGGAACCTGGCAGAACGGGTTCTCCGGTCAGAACTCGACGTGCAGCTACTTCGACCTCATCCGCAGGCCTCATCTTTCTGGCATTGACCAACACAGGCACACCCTCATGCAGCAACCAGTATGCATTCTCTGCCTCGCGCCCTATCACGCGGCTTGCAGTTGACCACACAGTGGAAGTTGAACCGGGCAAATTGTCTCTTCGGTAAATGACTAAATCGCCCACCTGGTACTCCGTGTCCATGGGAGCTGCATTCCTTTGCAATGCACGAGCAACCTTCCTGGACGAGTCCAAGTGCACGAAGGCTTTGCGGGCTTCTTCCCGGGCTCTATGTCGGGAATAGAAAGGAGTGGTCTCATCGAAACGGGCCAACAAAGTTCCCATGCTCTCATCTTCATCCATGACTGAACCTGGTGTCCTAGGTCGTTTGCCTAGCACATGCTGTGATGGGCTGAAACCTTGATGTCTGGACAGGTCATTCTTTGTAGTCACACATTCACTGACCACCATAACCATGTCTTCCCAAGTCGAGGGCTGAATCTCCTGCACTGTTTTCCTTACCAGTGCCTTGAGCAAACCACCATGTCTTTCGACCTTCCCTATGGTCTGCGGAGATTCTAAGGGTGCATTTCGGAGATGAATCCCATGTTGTCCCATGTAACTTGCAAACTCTCCCTTGAAATGCGTTCCCCTATCAACCACTACATGCTGTGGATGTCCTGCCCACGATACCCATCGCTCCATGAAAACCTGCAAACATTGCCGCGCGCTGGGATTGCCACCTCCTGACTTTATCAGGGCTACTTGTTGGAAGCTGGTTCCCATGTCGACCATGTTGACTGCAGTGTAGCGGGTACCATCGACATCCTTTACTTCCATGCAATCTATGCCAAGTGTGTGATTGAACTCTTTCGGAAACACCGATTCCCCTGAGACTGGATGATGTCGCGGAACTGGTGCAGTGTCTAGGCAAGCCTTACATCGGTGAAGGCGGGCAGCTAGGATGAACTCCTTGGGTGCCTTGCTCTGCCTAAGGACCTGCTCCAGGACTTTACCTGGGAGATGACCGAATGCCCTATGGAGTCGCCTGATAGCAACTCTCGTGCGCTGTGGGAGCGAACGCCAAGCTGCTCTGCGTTCTTCCTCCGATGCCGGAGTACCTGGGAAGGACAGTTGCTCGAGAATGAATTGCTCTCTCTCTTCGGGGGGCCCCATTGTCTTGCTCCCTAAGTAGTTCAGCCATCTCTTCATCGGGGATGAGTTCCTGATCTTCCATGTCGGAACCTAAACCTTCCGACCCTACAAAGCAATTGCGTGTGTAAGAGTTCAGATAAAGCTCCTGTGAAATGTCACGACATGTGGCCCAGAAATCATGTTCTTCCGTGTCTGCATAGCAACGGGGGCTCATGCCATAGCTCTCAGTCCATGTGGACAAAACCTGGAGTGCATCATCGATGTTCGGCCCTACCCCGGAAACATTCAAGTCTCCTCTTACCTCGACGGTACTTTCGAGTGTTGGGCATCCATAGGGGCTCACCAAGACAATGCTCACTCCAGCTGTGTCAGCTAGGCACTCACACTCTAAACACAACTCCTCGGTGGGAGAGGTTGGCAATGGTCTCGCTGATCACCTGCGCGTCAAGGGATTCGGATACCCATTTGCAGTGTGAAATAGGAGGCTCAGTGGGGGTGAAGGCAATCATGTGATCCGTAGCCACTGCTGCATTGAATGCAATCGCTTGCAACACACGATCTCCCGCAACCATTTCCTGAATCCCACTAAGCACCCTCTTCCTCTGTTGCTGAGTTTGGGCAGTGAGTGTGCAGTGTCACGGGTAATTGCTCTGGGACCATCATGTGCAGGGATTAGCTCAAACTCATCGTCGGAATCCTCAGCATCGAACCTTACCTGCTTGAACTCCCCAAAGTCATTAACCCCCTGCAATGACGCCATATATGCGCTCAGCTCATCGCGGTCTGCAAGGGTCTTCGGAACTGTGTCCGGTGCAAAGGCCTTTGGATACAACCAAAGCACAAGGTACGCACCTCCACTTGGCGGAGGCTCGGTTGGGCACACTTGCTCGGCCTTGAATTCACCGCAAACATCCTCGGTACTGTGACCGGGTGGACACACCGTCCCCTGTGGGATCCACACGCCGCCCTTGTTCTTCGGGTTGTCGTTGAGAAACAGCCACCCGATCGGTGTAGGGCCTTTGACATTCCCACAAGGCTTGTATCCCTCCCTCGTGTGAGGGGTCACGGCAGTCACCTTGAAGTTGTGGCGCTCGGACTTGTCCGTGTGTTCCAGATCCTGAGTGGAGAAGGATTTGGGCATGTAAGGGCCAATCCACAACGCCGGACTCGGACGCCCATACAGAAGGCCGCAGAACTCGTGCATCACCTGGTCCGGGAGCAGGTCGACCAGGACTCGCCTGTTCCACGAAAGGCTGGCGTCGTCCGAAGTTGGAATCTCCGTAAGATCCAAAGCGAGGATTGCCGGATCCAACGCCCTCTCCCGGCGGTGCGGGGCCCTGACTCTTCCTCCACTGCGCTCAGGCGGCGTTAGAGTTGTCAGCCGCCGGATCATGGAAGTAGTTCTTGAGCTCCCGCCTGTCCAGGGGTCGATTCTCCTCAAAGCGCCTCTGCCAGAACTCCTCGTCGGCGGCCCTGTTGGCACGCGCCTCCAAATGTGGGGTCCATCGTCTCACAGGTGGCTTGGGTGGCTCGGGCGGAGCCTGATGATCCCAATCGCCAGCTCGGGACCACTCATCATCCCAAGCATCCCACTGGTTCTGGTCGTATGAGGAGGTCTCGCGAGCGGTGTCGCGGTAGCTGCTGCTGGGGTGCCACTGATCACGGTCACGATCACGATAAGAAGACGACTCTCGGCGAGAAGACTGCGCTCTGTGATCATCGTGGTGGCTTGATCTCTCCCTCCGGACCTTTCTCCGGGAGTCACTCGAACTGCTCCTTGCCCTTCGGTCATGGTGTCGATGACGGGAGCGGGATCGACCACCAAACTGGGCAAGGGCATCTTGCAGGAGCTGTTCTGCACGCTCCGCTCTCCGTTCCGCCTCCTGCTTGTCCCGCTCGGCGTCCCGGAGCTTGCTTCGAAGTGACTCGACTTCCTTGTCGCGCAGCGCTAACTTCCTCTCCAGGGTTTGTACCTGGGCCTGAACTGGCAGATGACTTGAGGTGGCAGTGAACACACCTGAGCCCGCTTGCTGATGAAGCCTCCCTGTCAGGGAGCTCGGGTCCCACTTCGCCACGTAGGAGGTGTGCTGCTTGCCACGAAGCCCCAATCGAGTAGCTGCCTGCGATGCTGACTCTCCCTCTCCAGGCGCTACTTCCAGCGGATCTGATGGGACCTCTTCCACCTCATCGTCTGCGTCCAGATCAGTAACTTCCTCCGGAGCTGTGCCCGGGGCCCTTTCAGGCTCTGACTCGCAGTGCAAAATGCATGTGGTGCTCTCCTTGACATCGCCTTCCAGATACTTGATGAAGTCGGCGAACACCTGTTCGTAGGCCGCCTTCGCATCGTCTGTGCGATGTGTGCACCAGCTGCAATGCCCGCGGCAAGATCCACCCATGAGCGGCCAGGACTGTTCGCTGTTGCAATGCTGCATGGAAACATGAAGTCCTTCAACGCGAAGTAGCATGTGCTCAATGAGGATGCCTCCTGCCACGGAACGGTGCCGGTTTTGTTTGCAGACAACGCTAATGTTCATCGCCTGGTAGCCCTGCTCCATTGACTTCTTCACCTTGGAACGAATGGCTCTGCAATGTTGCAGGAATCCAGGGTCTGCAGCTATCGCCTTCATTATGCTTGTATCTCGCTTGCGATCTGCGAGCTCAGGATCCAAACTCCTGGCATTCGGCAAGTATGTCAGGTCAAAGAAGATGCCGACGAATGCGCCTCCGAGTTCAAGGGTAGCCTCTGCCGAGCGCATCTCACTAAACATATCAGCGAAATGCTGTGGCTCCCAAGCGTTGCGGATCTTATCAACGGCCTCCTCGAAGTTGTAGCCGAAGGTAAAAATGTCCGCGGCGTGCTTGGGATTGTCTCCTCCCTCGGTGGGGAAGGTCTCGGAATTCAGCTGCTGAGGCCTCGCCTTAGGAGCGGGGCGCTGTGAAGGTGCGATGGCCATGGCTGCTGTCAAATTTGTGTTCTCACCTTGGGGTTCACTTATAGAGTGCGTCTGCATTGAAGAGGCCTTTCGTTTGGTGACCTTGCTGTTTGCGCACTTATCCGAACCCTCTGCTGCTATTGCTCGGGCAGCACCTGCAGGTGGCGGTGGGATCGCAAATCCTCGAACAAGGCGGGGTTGTTTCCCCTGCAAGAGACCATCGGTTAGGCAAATGCAAAGCAAACCTGAGTCTGATGTCCGATGCAACTTGAGTTCAATGGTCTTGTCGGGGTTCGACGGGAGCCTTACGGAGCACGTCCCTAAGTGTAGGTCTTTTGCCATCCCAAGTTGACTCTGGGCATGAAGCGATAGTAGGAGGGGTGCCCCACCAGGGATCTCATGGGAATCTAGCGCCCCACACAATCTTTCCCTATGGGAAACCTCCTCGCCCTCAACTGAATCCAAGGGCAAAAGGCAGAAAGGAAAGGTTCGGGTCCCAAGCGTGGAAGTGGAACCACTCAAACCCTTGAAGGTCTTGGAAGTCTCCTTCGCAAACCTCGTGGAATACCCAAAGCTCGCATACTTGGACATGCTCTCGTGACCCCAATCCTCGCCATGAACCGTTGAGTTACACCCTTCATCCAGGACTGCGAAAACATGTGGGGATGTGCGAATGTTAACCACGGGGAGTTTGCTCAAACTGGGGTTCGTGTCTGTGACTCCCTCGTGTGGTCCGGCAAGCATGGCAACCATTGCTGTACCGGGCCTTCTCCCCGATGAAGCCATCTCCCAACTCGCGCTCGTGGGGCTCGCATCATCCGCATGATCGTCCAGAGCCTCTTGAAGGTAGGCAAACAAGTCTCCCCTCGTTATCGAAGGTTCGGTGACGAAGTGACCCTCAACTGCCTCCTTGAACTGTTCAAGGGCTGGTACGACCACTTCTACAGGCACTCGGTCCCCTGTTCTGCCCACTATAGAGCGCATCATGTCGAAGTCTAGGGTGTTCGTGTCTCGCAGCTGTGCTGCGGCTGCATCCCTAGCTTTCTTCTCTTCTTGGGGCAGTTCATCTAGGATCATGCCACAAAGCTTGCACTTGATTCGGCTGGTTGTCTTGCTGGAACCTGAACGATCTACCTGGGCATGCGTGCATGTGGTAGGGTCGACCTGTACCTGTTCTTTGCGAGTCTTGGTTACCGTGCCACAGGACTTGCATGTGCGCATGTCTATGTACGAATTGCTCCCTGTCTTGCTAAAGGTCTTACAACCACCCCTGCACTTGGGCCGGAAACCGGTACTGGATGAGGCGGTGCCTTCAGCGTTGGCTGCGCGGTCAGCAACGGGAGTTGGGGGCATCATCGTACTAAGAGAGATGTCTCTTCTACGCACTTCTATGGGGTCCGTGTCTTCTACCACATAGTGCTCATGCACCCAGTTCAGGAAATCACCCAAACACTTGGAAGGACACTTCTGTGTTTGACCCCAAAGGACATACCCAGGATAGGTGTGCAGCACTCGTTCATACGTCAGGCCTTTGTGATGACCAAAAGTGAACAAGGTGTCAGATCCTGGCGGTGGGCTGTCACGCATGGCAGTGGCTTCCGATCTGCGAACACGAGGACGCTCTGAGGGTCCTCCGCTCCTTTCAGCGGGATAGCCCTCCATGTCTCTTGAAGTGTTGGAAAGGTGAATGGCAGGGGTCTCATCGTCCGATGCGTCACTCAGTGCGGCAAGGTAGGCTTGCGAGGAGGATGCCATCCCGGGCTTCCCGGGTGAGGCGGACTTCTCTGCACCTGGACCACCCTTACTGGAACCCTTAGGACCTCCGGGACTACCCTTAAACCTGCACTCAGCGTCACCGGCCCAATGACCGATTGCGCCGCATCGCAAGCATCGGCTGCGAGCCTTCAGCTCGGCAAGTTTGGCTTTCCTGTCGGCGATAGAAAGATTGGAAGGAGGGACCTTACCACCCTTCTTACCGCCAGACTTACCAAAACCCTTACCTTTGTTACCCTTCACATTGGCAAGTGTGGTTTGGGCTGCGTATGCCAGCTGCAATGCTTCGGCGTGCTCCTCGCCTGGCTCGCCTCCAAGCTCTGTCTGCATAGCTGTATATGCATTGAGAGCCAAGGCTAATGCACTGTCATCAACCCATTCGCCTTCGTCTTCCTCGACCTCATGCTCCTCGGCTACATAGGCCTGACTTTCTGGCTCCTGGTACTCATACTCATCATCCTCCACGAAACCCTGTGTCATGTAACCGTACCGAGGCTTCTGCTGAAACGAGGTATTCTCCCACCGGGGCTTGGACCATGTTCTAGCGGCAGGCTTGTCTTTCTCAACGAGCAGGCGTTCACGCATATGCACAACACTATGATGCTTGATCAGTACGCGCGCATACTCATCTACTGTCTCGGCTTGTGCTGCGGTGCGCACCATGAGCTGCTCTTGGCGCGACAAACCAGACAGTTCCACAAGGAGATTGGCACGCATGGCCTCTGACAACCTGACTTCTGGGTCCAATTCCCTTAGGGTAACCCACCAGCGCTTTCGCCGGGAAATATAAGACAACATCGGCTCCCCTGATTGTTTGGACAAGGGACCTGTCAGCAACTGGCCTTGCCTGAACAATTCCGATGCCTCTTCCCCCTGCAGTCGTCCTCAACCTCATAATCTTGTGGCTGTTGCTCTTCTTCGCCACCGTCTCCTGACGACATGGACTCCGCACCGACCTGGCGGCCGCGCCGGCGTCCTGGGGCACTTGAAGGACTGGCTGCCATTCCACTGCTCTCATCACCTGTGTGACGGTCCGGGGATCTTATGCCACCACCTACCACTTTCGTGGGGATGCAGAACGGCTGAGTTGGTGGCTGGAACGGAGGTCTTTCAAGACCTCTCGACGCTGCCTTTCACGATGCTGGGATACACGGGCACGTGTGCGAAACTCCCAGTCGTGGAAGGACGCTGCGGAGCCGCTGTAAATGTAGCTTCCTGACTTGGTTTCTGCTGGGGTGTCAAGGCTAAGTACAGGGTCGTACTTTAACCCAGCTACCGACATGGTGTCGGATTTGCGCAGTGCAGTGGTCTATTGTAGACTGGCAATGCTGACGTTCTTTCGGCTTCTTGGCTCACACCCAAATCCCCCTTAGCTTTCTCTTCCGGACGAGATTGCTGCGAGGAATGAAAAACGTGTCACTGAGCTCCACAGCTCCGCTACCAGTTTCAGAAGCGGGGTACTGGGGCCGGAGTCACAGTGACTAGACTACGTAGCTTGCTTTTTCCGATTGAGCCCAAGGCGCCTGTCAAGCAGGAACTTGTCTCATGAATGCTATTTGACGCTTGCATGCTTGTTCATGCCTATACAAGTGTTCGTCTAACAGCTTCTGTACTATACGAAATCCAACTCGGCGCTTGTGTACAGGAAAATCTCACAACCCTAAACCCTAAACCCTAAACCGTTTAGGGCTTGGGGATCGTGCAGTGTGAAACCTGCGATTCTGCAGGCTATCTCAGTCCCTGGACTCGAAGCTTGTATGCTATGCATCCCGAGCAGGCTGCTTCTTAGAATGAGCGAATGGGGTACCCTACATGATCCCTTAAAGGGTATGTATAGGGTTTAGGGTTTAGGGTTTAGCATATATGGAACCCTAATTCCCTCATTCCCTACGAAGACCCAGGGGAGAGAGAGAGAGAGAGAGAGAGAGAGAGAGAGAGAGAGCGAGGGGGCGCACATTCCGAGAGAAGGGGCACACAGCTCCACACAACTGCCGGGACAAGAACTGAGACGGTTTCTCTGGGCGTTCATAACTTGCAAAGCAAACGGCGGAAGCCGAGCTGGACTTTTTGCTCTACGGCTTTTGGTTCAAGCTTTTTAGGGTTGAGGCAGAGAGTGCAAGTGGGGAGCAGACTGAAGGAATAGGCAGTCCCACGGTGAGACGCTGAGACTTACCTTCAAATTGCATGTCTCTGAGGTTGAGATGTTGCCCTGTGCAGTGCCAAGCGACACTTGCAGCAGGATGAGTTCGTTCGAAAAAGAGAAAACCAGACGTGAAGGCGAGCCAATACCAATTCCGAGAGTCCGATTGCTGATGCAAAAATGTCAGACACTGATGTCTGACTGCCTGAATGTCTGACCGTCTGCTTTCGTTTTGAGTGAAGACTTACCCTAAACCCTAAACCCTGAACCCTAAACCCTAATCCCTAAACCCTAAACCCCCCCCCCCCCACAAGCAGCCCACTAGACTGAAGCTTTCGTAGGCCGCGCCTTCGGCTCCTGCTCCTCCTCCTGCAGAAAAAGCTGGAGGTGGGCAGATTCGGTTTAGGGTTTAGGGTTTCGGGTTTAGGGTTTAAGGTTTAGGGTTTAGGGGTTCAGGGTTTAGGGAGCAACATAAGCATTACTTGAGCAGGGGTTCAGAAGTCAGGAAACATGCTATGTTCATTCTTCGTGATTTTTTCCGGATGGTTTTTTCTCAGGAGGTTTGCCCCAAGTATACGCCCAAAAAGACAAAAGCCCTCATCTTCCGAACCGCGCCAAAGGGTACAACCCTATTTGCGGAAACCCATGGTGAAGGTCCACGGGCTCGAAAGCCGCTCGCATAGGTCATCAGAAATACGTTGCGAACATCTGCATGTAGGAACGTACGTACGTGCTTGTGTGCGAGCGTGCGTGCGTGCGTGTGTGCTCTTATGAGGAAAACTTCCCATATATGAACCTGTCCTAGTGAAGAGCATTTGACAGGGTTGGAAGGGCCTTCTCAGGCTACCGGTTAGGGTTCCGGTTGGGATCCAGGACCTTGTGGTTGCAATCACTGTGACAGCCTGCCACGAGTAAGCGCATGCTATTCAAGCAAAGAGTTGTGATCGACTCAGCTCATTGGGTGTTGGCGCTGATCCTTCCCCGTGCTAGCTTGCCCGGTGCACGAACAGACAAGAAAGAGCAACAAATGATACAGCTACAAAGTCACAGCAAGGGTGCTGGTTTCGCTGTATTCATGCTGCAGCCATGGCCACATTGCTTTCAATCTTAGACCCGCCGAGATCGAGCCACATTGATGTCAATACCTCGGCTACAGTGGGCAAGTTCTACACACATTTCTGTCGCGCTGCACGCGCATTCCTGCTCCTCCCTGTGCAAACCCTGCGTTGCAATGGGCGTGAACTCCTTTCAGTTCTCACAAACCCTAGACCTTAGGACCTAAACCCTAAACCCTAAACCCTAGCCGCGCCTCGTCTGGAGCCGGCTGGACCTCTCGGGGAATCTCCCGGAGAAGCCCCAGAATTTTCGGCTCCGGCAGTGTTGGCGCCGGTGCAGGTTCCGGTGGTGGCGATGCCACCTGTGCTTCTTGGGTTTGGGGTTTAGGGTTTGGGGTTTGGGGTTTAGGGCTTAGGGACATGTCAATGTGAGCTTCAAGCCTCAAAGTATCTGAACGTACTCAAGTTGCCCATGTCCCTAAGCCTCACGCAAAAGGCCCCGCCCTCCGTTGCATTTGTACACCTTTGTGGGTTGCGCCGCTGCATTTGCCGAGTTGACGACTCTGCGCCCATATCAGGCAGCAGTGAAACAAGAGCTCAAAGGCAAATGTACATGTACCTATATATATATATATGTATATTTTTAAACGATTTTCACATGTATCTGTTTTCTGTAGATGGTGTATTGTCTTTTGTATGTTATGATACTATCTACTATACAATATAGATCTTATACGAAATCCCACCTCTGACACGCTGCTCATGACGGAGGGCTTGCTTGGCGCTTCCTTCAGGGGGGTTTGAATCTCCCGCCCTCTTCGCATGATGGTGGGGTCTCATTGGGTAAACCCTAAACCCTAAACCCTAAACCCTAAACCCTAATCCGAGCATCTGTTTAATTGGTGGGGGCCCCCCCCCCCCCCCACAATAAGGAATGCAGGGTTCCGCAATAGTTGGACCGTGGCCCTGTATTGATTCTCTATTAAAAACAATAGGCTGCAGATCCCTGAGGTGCTGTAGCTTTGCGTCTCCGCAAGCAAAACAAGAAGCCTGCCGACAGATTTTTGAACCCCCCCAAAAAAAATCCTTTAAATGTGGGGGGTTTGTCCCATACGAAATCCACCCTAATGGAAAGTAGTCTTCCGGTGGGCTTCCGGCCAAAAAAAATTTCTTTAAATGTGGGGGTATTAATTAAACTGATGCTCGGATTAAACCCTAAACCCTAAACCCTAAACCCTAAACCCTAAACAACCGCACTCAGTGCGGTTATAAGTACCGGGACTGGGGTAGTACGTGTGGTTACCATACTTCTAACCCTACTAATGACCCTCCAAGTACGGAGCCTTGCTGTTTTTGATGGTCTACCCAACTTGGTAGCCCAGCAACCATATCAAAATCAGGGCACCCTTTTTTGGGTTAAATATTTTTCAGGGACCCCTCACCAAAAGGGGGGGGTTTATGGTTACCACTGGGCTACCAAGCCAAAAGCGTTTAGTGGTGTTAGGGTGTTTTTGGTGTTTCGGGTTTTTCGGGTTGAGGGCTTAGGGTTTCTAGTGGTTTTGGAGTTCAGCTTTCAGAGCTGAGGCATCGATGCTTCCGGGGCCCTCCCCCGAAACCCGTCACACCCGGCACCCTTGAACCCTAAACCCTGAAGCCCCCTAAACCCTGAGCCCTGACGTCCAAAACCCTAAACCCTAAACCCTAAACCCTAAACCCTAAACCCTAAACCCTATGTGGAAGCAAAGCCGGCCTTGATAAAGCTGCGCCACTGGGCACCTGGGGACTCTTTGGGGTTTAGGGTTTAGGGTTTAGGGTTGGGATGTTCCTCCATCTCCTAACAGCCCTTTATAGGGATGATAACAGGGAGTACTTTGATCCCTGTGAAGGACGGTTAGTATAAGGGGGAACATCCCAGGGTTTAATTAGGGTTTGTGCGTCCCAAGGAGCATCCCAAGCCTATATGGCTTCTGATCAACAATCCAAAACGCGCTTGGGATTCTCTTAAGTTAGGTGCCCTTTTCGGCTGACCCTAGGGTAGTTCTCCATAATGTTTACAGAAGGACGCCCCAGTCCTCCCAGCAGCACCTTCCCCGCTGAAACAAAGCGCCAGACTTCCGACGGATCCCGCATCCTTACTTGGAGGTTCATGGGTACTTGTTGGCAGGATTGTACGCACGGTAGCTATGCAGCTCTAATGTAGTGCTACTTGCAACCCGAGCTCTTCCAGTACCACCCCCCCACCCCCCCGATCCCTCAACTTGGATCACAAATCCCAGGCTCAGTTCCAACCCGAATCACATGGGTCAACCCTACAGACACCCCATAATAAAAAGACCATACTAAAAACCCTGGCAAAAAACCCCTATAAAAAAAGCCCTCTGACGCTTCTTTGCCCAGGCACTGGCTGATCGCACGGTCTGCAGGGTGTCGTGCAAGTCCTCCACTGGGTAGAATTGCAGGGGGCTGAAGCTCCAACATGGAGAATTGGTAGTTGACCAACATGACGGTTTCCAAGATCGCGCCATGTTTAGGGCTTAGGGTTTAGGGTTCAGGGACTTATTAATAGGAACCCGGACTAGCTTCCCAATAAGAAGGGCCCTGTAGATCAACCCGCACACAGTAGTTGTTCAAGAGTTCACGATGCCAACGCCCCAAAAATGACCAGAAGTTGGGATGTTCCTCCGCGCACTAACAGTCCTTAATGGGGATGATCGTACCCCTACTAAATCCCGATTAAGGGCTGTTAGTATAAGGGGGAACATTTTGGGGCTCTTGGATGACTGGCTGGTTCTTAGTAGGGAATGAGGGAATGAGGTACCCAAGATAATCCCTTAAAGGGTATATATATATATATATATATAGGGCCCTAATTCCCCCATTCCTTACTAAGAAGCAGCGGGATGAAGATGTGGGGTCTTCAAGGGCTCGGGTCATAGCCGATGGGGAACCTGCAGTGCCCAGACAGTTTGGCACCTGATCTTCGAAAGCCCTACTTGAGCGGTTCATGGGTAGTTATAGGTAGGTTGTACTTGAAACTACAATTATGACCTTATTCGGGCACTTGTAACCCGACTTGTACCGACCCAT